ATGGGCATCTAGGCTTCTCCCATATTTGTGGGCATCATTACTCGTGCGCAGCATGTATTTACGGGCAATTTAATTCCTCACAGATGAAATGCCTAACCATGCTCTATATCTGCACATTCTTGCTCATATTTTTGCGCCGCTCATGCTCAGAGACTTGCCTTTGGACAGGCTAACTCACGCGGATATGGAAACGTTGTCGCACCCATTGTAGTTGGCATATGCGGGATTTACAGAACAACTACGGTTGGACTCAAAAGAAGCTTCGCAGCAAGATGCAGCCTAAACAGATGCTTGTGGTTATGATCCACATAGCACTCAGGCTCCAGCTCATCGGGTATGTGGAGAATTTTAGCCAGACGCCCTGAAGTGGGCAGAGGGTTACCGGTTGTTTGTCGACGTGTTCCGACATTGGCGAGGACGAGATTGATTTGTTACTGAACGTATTTGCGTTTTTATGTGCAGCTTTATGTGCTTTTGTAGACTGCATAAGCATGAATTCCTGCGTTCCTCATCAGATTGAAAATCCCAGCTTGCGTAAACCATGCTTTTCGCCTCGATGTTGAGGTATTTGTATCAAGTTAAAGTCCTTGTTGCATTAGCATGATTTCCATGTGGAAAGGCCCATGTGGTTGGTCAGCCTTCCATTGACTTGGCTCTCAGCATCCCCACCGATTCTACAGGCCGCTCCCGTTCTGTGAACACGCTCAGCGGCCCGCGAGTCTTTGTGCCAAGGAAACGCTGAATTGAACGCGAGCGCCCGAGCTGGGCGTATCCGAACACTCGTGTGTCTGCTAGCTGGACACCCACATAGGTACTCGGGCATCTGGGTACTGGGTATGGAGAGCTCTCTGGTTTGCACTTTACTGGTAACACACTTCAAAGACAATAATGCCGTGGCAATTGGCTTCAAACGGCCCTCACAGCAAACAGACAAGCAATTTGGATTGGAAATTTTGGGTCGAGGTGGCAGAAATAATCAGCCAATCCAAATCAAGAGTCACACAATTAGGAAGATCCGCTAGGCCCGTGGACGACGGTTTACATCCATTGTCACTCATTTCCTGTAGTTCACCGCATCCGAATCAAACAGTCAAAATGTTTGTGGAGCTTAGCGCCAGGCTGGTGCTAACTAGCGGCCACAGCGAGTATCCACGAAGGTGCATCAGTGATCAGGGAATGCGTTTAACCTTTTATAACTACTTCTTTTCTGCCATCGAGCGACAATGTTCCGAGCACATCAGCGACTGCGAGCATTGGGAGAACTTGTCCAAGGGGTTCCCATCCAGCATCCAAAACCCCATCCCCATGTTGCAGGCACACTCGATCAGCACTCAGTTATTAGCTGAAACTTCGGCATAGGCCACCAACCCAGTTCACAAATAGTAGCTTTCCAAGAGCCCCTGGCAATGAGCCGATCGACTGCCCACGTGCTTGACGCCGCTGACAGTCAGCGCGCCATCGGCATCCCCACTCGTTACGTGCCTGCGGCCGCGGCGAGCGTTCGCATCTCGTCATCATCCCAGATCAGTAGCGGCCTTTGTGGTGCTTTTTGCCGTCGCTGCTATCGCTGTCACTTCTGTCATGCTTTTTGCCGTCGCTGCTATCGCTGTCACTGCTGTCATGCTTGTCCTTCTTCTTCTTGTACGTCAGGAGCTTTCGGAGCCGCAGGTCTGCGTGTTCGCCGAGGCTGACTGTCCAAGGATGGGCGGCGCCCTGGAGGATGTCACCGCGGAGGGGCCCGCCTCTGGTGTCCGCCCAAGACCCTGGCAGTCACGAGGGTGCCCTCCATGAGCAGCTTTATGCCCACATCATAATGGCGAAATGACGCCAGAGCGCCGTCAAGACTACGCGATTGAAATCCGGTCCAGCGCAGGATTTCCAGCAACGTTGCACTACTCGTACATGAACGGGAACTGCGTGAATTGAGAAATTTTGGCCACCGGTACGCTGATGCGAAAAGGCGGGTGAATGCCATTTTCGCGTAACGATGTTGGTGGCGCGTAACGGCGGCGAGACCCGCACGGCGGTGCAGTGCGAATGAGCACAGGCGGAGGTCAGCGATCGCACGTCCAGTGCGTCCAGCCCAGGAGTCTGTAGCATTACAGGTGCATCCCCAGAAGCGAGCGGAGCGGGCGGGTGCAAAAGGGCTGGCGGCCGAGAGCCCACAACGACATGCGTCCGCCGCCTTGAGTTCAACGGATACGGCTCGCCCCCCCTGTACGTATACGGCACGAAGGGGGATGGCGGAAAGGCGGTAAATTGTTGCTCTGCGATCATGACGGCCCCAGCGATACTGAGGATGCAGCCCGACGGTCCACCACAACAGCGCGGAGTGGCAACGGAGGGCAGAAATCCTTCACGAGCAACAACACCAATCTGAACGGTCGTTCGCCGACTGGGTGGATACGAGCACGGCCCCAACAACGGCGGGCGCCGCTCCGGATGCGCACAGGGCACATTAACACACCACAGGAAGATGGAGGCATCGGCGAGCTGCCCGTTGATCGCTGCGCGGTGCCGCCGGGAAGTGTGGTTTTTCAAACGGACGCGTACTTGGCAATGCTTGAAGGAACAGGGCAAGACAGCGTTAGCGCGGCTGCCTCTCTGTCGCGGACGCCTGGGCAGATCGCGGGGGCGGGCAGAATCGGCCGGAGGTCCAGATGGCGATCGCGGCGCGCGCGATCTCCAACCCTCCCCTCCCCACACACGCTCAACACGCGCAAGCTCGGACGGCAAGCTCATTCGCCGCTCTTGAGCGGACGCCTTGTTGGCAGCGCTCTGTGCGCGAACTCGCGCACCGCCGCCATGCTCGTGGGCACGCCCGCGTTGCGGACAAAGATTGGCCCACCTGCGCGCACATCATCTTCACCTTCCTTCTCGGCGTCCGCCACAGGGATCGATGCCAAAACCGTCCCCGCGATGACGAGGCACGCCAACAGGGCGAGGCGTCTGGAGTCCATGCCGCTCGGGTGGAAGATGCGAGATGGCTCGGAAGGAGTATCTGCGAAGGAGGCGGCCCTGCCCGATGGTCGCGACTCGATGGGTGGAGCTGGAAGACTTGAACCCCCGCGTTCGTGCCAACCGCCCTCGCCGTTTTTATGGCCCGCTGGTGGACCTCGCCGTGCTTGGCGTTGACGCGCGGTACACCTGTACCATCAGAGTGATGCGGTTGAGTGGTACCAGACCGTCCCACTTCAGAAGGAGATTTGAGCGCTGACGCGCAGGCGGCTGGCGCCCCTCACACGCCTTTCCGCCCCGCCCCTCTCGACAGGGAATCTCGTCAGCGTCGCCCGATGGCAAAGCGTGCGACTGGCCTCAGCCTCGCGTGGGAGATCCCTTCCAGCTTTCAGATTTGCACGCGCACCAGCGTCGGCAAGTCACATCCGTCACACCTCAACCACGCTGCCAGGTCAGGGAGATCCTCGGCACACTGGAGTGTCGTGACTCCGGAAGGAGGGCGCAAGGCCAGCGGATCTCCATAACGCCACCGCTTCAGCGAGCACTGACGCAAGTTTGTATTGCAGGGTGGCTGGCTTGCAGTCGATGCCCCGCGTGCGCCGTGCGCTGATGGGTGCTCATCTGTTTGCGGCTCGCGCACGAGCGTCGGCAAGTCACATCCGTCACACCTCAGCCACACTCCCAGGCCAGGAAGATCCCCGGCACCATGGAGTGTCTCGACTCCGGAAGGAGGGCGCAAGGCCAGCGGATCTCCATAACGCCACTGCTTCAGCGAGCACTGACGCAGGCTTGTCTTGCAGGATGGTTGGCTTGCGTGCAGTTGATTGTGCCCATTGGTATGATAAGTGGGTTGCTTACGACTGAGGCTGGCGAGAAGCCCAACACACAAGAACCGCTGGGTGGTACGACCAGAATATGCCCCAACCACCACCGCCATCTACCCACCCACCCATGAAGCCCAATTTTGAGAATTCGCAGCCCGCTTTGACAAAGTACTGTTTTTGTGCATTGAAAGTCCGCTTTTCGCTAGCGAATTGAGGTTTCAATTTAAAATTGAAGCTCAGAACGAAAGAAAGGGCTGTAGGCACCCCCAATACTTAAGCTTCGACATCAAAAATGGGATTTGGCGAAACGGGTTGCGATTCACAGAGGAATGCTGTGCGCATGCATGGAAAAGCAATGCAAATAGGTAAAAATGGGCTGAAATGTACATTTCTATAGGGAGAAATAGACCCAAGGTGAGCTCATAAGAGGATATCGCCTATTCCGAAGGCTTTTGTGCTCAGCCATTTCCCCAAAGTCTTAGCATATTGCTAAAAATCTGGGAAAGTCTGGCGTGCGTCCTGCTCTGCGATGGGGCGAGAATGGCCCGGACGTTCAATTGCCATACCTCAAAGCAATATGCTGAGGAAAGGCAAGCATGTCGATTGGGCCAGTCGCGCGCAAACGGCGAATATAATCTTTCCACACTCTCATTCGCTCAAGCTAATTTCTCTTTGTTTGTCGCAGGCCAAAACAAAGACCTGTCAGTTCCCAAATCGTTGGTGGCAAGCATCGTCCTTGCACTGAAACATTTTGACGCTGCTGTTGAGTACAAAGTATTTGTGTCGCATTCTACTCGATTCTCCCATTGTATCGGTTAAGGACATATCCTCTCCGCGTTAAGCAGTACCGAATGTAGTGAGGACACCGACTCTGCACACGATACACACCAAGTATATAGTATACCGAATCGGTACACGATACATACCGAATACATAGTATATCGAATCGGCACAGTATACCGGATCAGTACACGATACACGGTATACAGTGTATCCAGCACCTTAACACCAAACACACGTCCCAACAACTTCGTCCCCCTGCCCCCATTGTCCGTTCTGCCGCTCCGCCCAGCGACAAAGCTCTTCCCCCTCCGTGCCGCTCCTCCCCAAACCAGGGCCCCGATCAAAGAAATGCTCGCCATTTTGCTTCCCGTCCTGCTGCTGTTGCTCGTCGAGGCGACCGGCTGCGTTTGCTTCCTGGCCCCCCGGCCGGTGGCGATGGCCGTCGCGCAGGGGTGCCGATCCGTCTTGACTGCGTCGACCACGAGCTCGCTGGCGCTCATCATGTCGGTTCCCTTCGGGGCGTCGTTGTTAGAGATGGGGGCGCTGGGCACTGGGAGGTGGGGCCCATGCGCTGCGAATAAAAGCGACTGATGAGTGTTGCTACTGATGCAATGCCGTGCGGAAGTTCAGTGTGCCCAAGAGGGAGCCGGGTAGTGCCGCGTTGCGGATGTTTCGGGTGCATGTGGACACTGGCGCCGAGAGGGAAAGGACAGAAAACACGGATTGTCATTTTGGCGTTGTGCATTGTTTCCCACTGATTGCAGTTGGGAGTATGTAACAAGACACAGCTCTTGCTCCTGGAAGGCAACGACAGCGGTTTTCTCTTGCGTGGAAGAGGCGATGAAGGCCGCAGTTCGAGGTTCCTGGAGAGTGAGAACTGAAAAACCCCAGGTTGCCAGAATGCTTTGAACGGCTCACACTGATGGAAATTTCACGCCTGTGTGGGGGCTGAAATGGCAAGTCGATCATTTCAGTGATTGCTGTCACGAACTGCATCGTTGTGCCAACGGAACACCCCTTTGGGCGCTGGTGTAGCCTAAGGTCTTCGGAGCATTGCGAATGAAACCCACAGATAACCCCCTTGCGGATCAGCCAATGGTTTCAAGGCACCACACGAACATGGCGTGTGTTGCTCTGTAGGGCTGCTCACTCTCCAGGGGATGTTGGCAAGGCCCAACTCCTGGCAATTTTGGCAATTGTCGTAGTTCTCCTGGCACTAATCTTGCGCAAGATTTCTGAGGAGATGATAAGTCACGAGAAGCTAACATTGAGCCATGAGGCACTGCTGAAGCAGGTGATACGTGCAGGGATTGACGCAAGTCAAGTCCTAGGCTGGGACTGCTGTGTGTTGTTCTGTTTGCTTTTCTTACGTTCTGTGGCATCAAAAGTATTAGGAAACACAACAAATCGTTTCCCTGGAAGGCAGTGCCCACCAAACGACAGCATTCTGTTTGAAAACAGTTGATTCTTCGCTTTCCCTTTATGTTGAGCTTGCATGCAGGATGCAGTCACGTCCCTTTCGACATATACTTTCACCAGTTTTGGTGACCATTGGCAAACAACCCTCATCTGCAGATAGCACGTTGTCAATAGCTGCAGAATCTTGGTAAAAATTTTAGCAATTTGCTGACGCCCCGAAGCTCTCTGCTGCTTCTGTTGGGCAAAGGTGGCATGTAAGTTGTAAGTGCCCTGAAAACAGACGTTGTCGATGGATGGAGTGCTCAACATCCATTAAAAGGTGTGAGGCAGGTGCGTTGCCATCGAACTGCGCCTTGCTGAAGTGCAGCACCCACCTCCTTCTGCACATGGCTTAAGACAGTGTGGCAATGGGTGAACATGTCCACAACACTTTGATCGTTGCCATCAGGTCAAGGGACTCCAAGAGGAGTACAACCGCATGAGCAATGAAGCCAAGGAGAGTGGAGCACTCAGTAGGGCAGAGAAAGAAACGTTGCTGGTAGGAGCACCAACACCATTCGGTGCAATGATGCCTTGTAATGAGTCTTTGTATGACATTTCATCATTTGCAAGGGCTCACAGGTCCTGTTGGGTATGGCCTACTCTGGATGTAACCATGCATTCTCAGAGCAACCTTCCAGTCAAGGTTTCATAAGCACCTCCAAAGGCTCACAAATTGCAAGTTCAGAGCACTCACTGGACCTGGCCAACCCCTCAACTTGGCAATAGTGTTGGTGATTGTTGTGTCTCAAGTTTTGTCCTGCAGGGATTCATTGTTGTCGTTCGCCAGCTTTATTTTTATTGCAAATCGACCATAGACCTTGTGGCAGGTCGGTCGTAACAAGCACACTCATGTTACATATGCAACTTAATCGCTGGAAGCAGGTGCGAGATGGTACAAGTTTAGGGATTAGCTTGGTTACTTCAGGGGACCTCAGTGTGGCAACTGAACTGCACTATTGGTGGGAACACCCCACAGGTATTGGTCCATGCATCCTTGGCTCTCAGTGCTCAGAATTCGAAACGCTCTGTTGCAACTCAAAATTTGCAGTTCTGTTTGGACTGTTGGTGACAAGCAGGCGTGTCATTCCCGAATAATTGCTGGTCGATTTGCGCATATTTGCGCATCATTATGGCTGTCCATATGTGGAAAGCCAATTGATGTACAACATTCACAAATAGATGCAGGCATGTGCAAATATAGGGATGGACATCTGCAAACACGAACGTGTAGATTCAGAGGTACTTGCATGTATATTTCGCAAATATGCGGCATCCGTGCGCTGAGGCTCAAGCACATCGGGGAATGCGGTAAGTGATAACCGGATGCGCAACAGTTTGTTCAACGACGTTGCGCCCATTGCGAGGGCGAAGTGGACTCGGTGTTCGAGGTGCTCAAGGGAATGGCGAGCTAACAAATTGTCAGCAACATTGTTAATAAACAATAACATAACTATAGACATTGTGAGACCGCTTCTTTGGTCCAAATCAAGCATACGTAACTGTGGGCATCCCAATGTTTGCGCAATTTGCACAAAATACGCAAACGCAACAACGGCGCCGTAGATATCAGTAAACACCCTTGTTTCAGGAGCATCCCTCGGCCAAACTTTTTCATGTCCCTGAAATAGCTCCTTTTTCCAGAATTCCACTCTTTTTCCAGAACTCCACCCCTGCACTGCGACTGTGTTGCACCAGGGGCGTGTCTCTGCAGCTGAGGAAGCAAAGAGATCCGCAGAGACAAGGGTCGAAGCCATGATAAGTCAAGCAAAGGTTAGTGCTGCAGAACCTTCACCAACAGACGCCTGGACAGAGATGTCGTCTTTGGCTGATTGTTGCTCGAGGCGGTTGCGTGCTTTTATCATGTGTTGGACCCACACGCGCAACATCTGCTATTGCTCAATTGTTGAGGATTGGATGGAAGGTGCATTCTATTTCGTTTCCCGTTGGCAGAAGTATCCGGATATATATGTCAGGAGGGAGAGCGTGCGGTATCTTGCCTATGTTGTTCCTGCATTGCGAAGGCCTTGGTCAGAGGATGTTCGAATCGTGTTCGAGCTGTACAAAACATGGAAGAATGCGGTTAAGATGGAGGGAAGCGAGAATCGTGCAAAAGTTGCCTATTTCACCGGTGGGTCACAATTGATGGACCAGATCGGCCAGTCTCAGTTGGCGCTTTTGTCCCGATGCTCTGCTTGTGCATGACGTCATTTGGAACACAGACAGAAGGCTAATGACGAGGTTCCGAGTGTGCGGTGCGTGTGCACTACGCAGGGCATGGACAAAGAATACGACCGGCTGTTGGATGAGAACAACAAACTGAAGAGGCAGCTGCCACAATTTCAGTCTTCGCACCTAGGCTATGGCAGCAAGAAGGACATGTGATGTGCCCCATCGCCTTCAAGATGCAATGGCACCCTTTAAAAACGAATGTGCTCTCAAGAAATCCATGTGGCTTGCACTTGTGAGGCCATCTGGCAGAGACTGTGCTTCAGGCATTGCCGCTGTGTTGACGTGGATGTGGGCGGCCGATTATCACTGTAGTCCCAAATCTGATCAGTACGGCGCTCGGCAGTGTTATTTCTCAGCCTGTAGTGCGCACGGTCTGCTCACAAAAGCGCCTTTTTTTATTTGTTCAAGACCTTCTGATGCGACTCTGGCTTCGTCAGTTGCAGTCGTGCATGAGCCACAAGATAGCTGTCAAAAATAGCGCGAAACAGAGTTTCTTCATCCGGGGCTGCGCCACGCACATTCTTCAACAATCCCCGTGCTACCTTCGACGCCGCTTTCAAACGGTAGGTGAGAGGCGCAATGCCGTCAACAAACAATTGGCACCCGGACTGGTCTCCGCCCCAAAGGCCATCCAAAGCCCATCCCCTCGCAGTGCAACACCCCACCCAACCAACGCCCCATCCACCTTCCCCTATCCCCTGTCCCCCGCCCTGCGCCCTTTCATCGCTAGGCTCCTCAGCTTAACGATCTCCTTCTGGTACGCCACGGTCGCCCTGGCCAGGTATCCCTGCAGGTTGGCCAGCTGCTCCTCGGCCATGGTGGCCCGCGTCTCCGCCCTCTGGGCCCTCTGCTCAATCTCCATCTGCGTGTTGATGGTGAACTCCTTGAGGTGGCGGCGGAGGTCGGCCATGTCCGCACCGCTCCCGGCCGTCACCCGCAGTTTCGCGTTCTCCTCCTGCAGCCGCGCGATTTCGTGGCCCAGCTGCGCCCGGGTCTTGTCCATGTCTTCGATGGCGCCCAGCTGCGACGCAAAGGGGCGTTGCTTTTTTGTTCCTCACAATGAGATATTCAATCCGTCTGAACCAGAAAACTATGCCGCTACGCTTCTTGCTCTGCGTTTTTTGCAGAGAATTCCCTTTTGGGGCAAGTGGATATAAGACTAAGTGCTCGGTACTTGCTCTCGTACTCGCTATGCCCAGTGCTTCGGAAGTTTGCTGGAGATTCGGGCAATTGGAAGGAGTCATTTCCCAGGACCCTCCTGGCAGATCGGCGAGTTCTCTGGATGCATCACCCTGTCCAGCGGCTCTCGACGTGCACGTCGAACGTGGACTGTGCGCGGACCAGGCTTGTGCGAAACAGGCCCACTTGTGCGGGCTGTCGTGGACGTGTCTCGCGTTTGGTTAATTGCGTTAATGAATGCATGTGCCCTGCAACCGGGGTATGGGGATAGCGCAAGGGTGCACTGTCACCTGTGCGGCGTCGGAGAATGGCACAAGATTGCCAATGCGTCAGTGCTGGCAGCTCTAGGAAAAAAGGCCAAGTAACGCATGCTCAAACGTGGACAAAGTTAACGGGTTTGGGTTGTTTCCGTGTTTTCAGCATTCAAAACACCGATGAAATGCATATATGCGGGTGTTCGCAAAAGTGTTATTTGGTCTTTTTATTGCTAGTGCAGGCGCTCACGCAAATGCCGACTTTGCCTGAGTCTTGATGAACGGCCTGCCAGCACCGCCGGCGTTGCATTGATCATGACATATCATCGGTGTGGAAATCAAACTCAGTTCCAGATGCTTCCAATCAAAAGCGAGTAAACCGCATGCATAGATTGCGTCCGAAATCTTACATTTACACATTTATTTGATGCGTCACTGACGTGGCAGGGCGGGTGTTCGCACAATTGAATGTCTAATGACGCGAGAACACAATCTATGCACGGTCGATTATGAGATAAGCAAAGTGATTGCGACACACAGGCATTGAGCGAGGCGAGCTGCTTTTCCCGATTGCGCATATGTATTTGCTCTGGCAAACCCACAAATATGCCAACTGGAAACTGATGGAATGGCATTGAATTAAATCTCGGGAGCTGCAAATACATCTCCGTAGCTCCGTAGCACCCGGATTCCAGCGCTTTCGCTGATGTCGAATTCTCATCTTTTCTGCAACTATGATTCCGTCTTACGGCCGAAGTTCCTGCGATATGTATCACGATGATTCATGTCCCCGAATGCTGCCATTTAATGCGGGAAGATGGAATTTTATCAGGGGATCATAAGGACACCCGTGTCTCGTCGCCGATGGCGAATATTCAGCCAGCATGGCGTGGTGGATGAATATGAAACGCGGCATTGCCAAATCCCACACAACATACCTTTGCTGAAAGTATCGTGTTTCTTTCTCTGAGCTCTTGCAGCGGCGTTCCGTCCATTGTGTGGCGAAGGCGATCCAGCTCGCTTCTCAGACGCTCATTCTCGAGCAGCAGAGGGCCAGGCGATACCTCCGGCTGAGCAGCCTCCATTGCTGGCGGCGCCTGCCCGGCTCCTCGGGAATAGTCTTTGGGCCTGTTCACCATTGCGTTAGACCGTCGGTGCGTTGTCGTTACATCTATAATTTACGTCTATAAATTGCACCTAGTTAATGTACATTAATTGATGCCGGAAACGCAGGCTGCAAGTGCCAACGGAAATGCTGTTGAAATTGCGTGATCTGATTCACCGCAGCACGGTAAAACCACCAGGGTATGCTCAAGTACTATGCAATTCTCAGCGCTTTGACGCGACTTGACTATGCAATTCTCAGCACTTTGACGCTGGGGGTGGAATTGCCCAGAATTAGACAGTCGGTTCACAGAACAAGCTGTTTTGGTGGTCACCATAACTGAGCGGGCCGCACAAGTGCATCACCATCAAGTGCGTGATCGAAATTGAACGAGTGAAATTTGACTCCTTTTAAACGGGCACAATTTTGCACCCCGTCGTGCCCATGGACATGACGCGAAAATTGCACTTGTGCCGGAATCGTTCTCATTTCAATTTGAATGCGAACGCAACCGAGGTCTGTGGGCGGCCACTTCGCTATCGTGTTTTCACATCATTAGAGACGCACCCCAGTTACGTTACACCACATATGGTGTCGGCAGACAGTGTCTCATGGCCTGTGTTGTTTTGCAATAGCCCCCCAAAAGAATATCGCATCTTAAATTCTTACTGTAACTTCGCAAGTTCAACTCAATCAGCCAACCCATCACCAGATTCGGAATCCCTGGTCGATTTGGGTTAATGCGGATCTTGGCTGCATTAGTCATCAGTATACATCAGGAGATACGCAGCCTTCTCCAAAATTCCCTGTCCACCTCTGTCAGCCTGAGGGACTCATTTCCCCATATTTTTGTCCTCACCTTATTCCCGTATGGAGCAACCCATTTCCCTTAAATTATTTAGGAATCTTTCTGGGGGCAACATAGCCACTGCTGCACCCTTTCAAGAGTTACGGCGCCGTTTCAATAATACTCTTTGTGTAGCTTCTCTTCCGCTACGCCGAATCCTGCCTCCTAAATTTTTCTCAATAATTCTCAATTTCTCAATTCAACAATGGGCCGTGTTGGCCTCAACCAACCAGTTTTTGGATTAACAGCAGCATGCACGGCCTTCCTGACCTTGGCACCTTGGCTAGGTCAATGCTCTTGCAGCAATATAGGTGTCTTTTGGCCTTCGGCCACAATTTCCACAGTTTTTTTTGACACACGAAATTCTGCAGTAAAACCACATCTTTTGCTTTGCGGATGTTGCTTGGAATTCAGCCGCATCTTCGGTGCATACAGGACCACCAAGCCATAGACAGGTCAGCTCGTTCCACCTCCTTTGAATCGCGGCACAAGCTCACCATACTCTCCGCAAGGTCCCAGCCAACCGGAAAATGGCGTTTCATCTCTTGTTAACATAAGGCAAGAACTACAGCGCCGTTTGCCACATTCAAGGGCTCCACGAAAAGCTCTTGATATGACGCGCCGAAGTTGTTTCGATCAAATTTTCCCACTCGCGGTTTGGCCTCAATTCACGCAAATTACACATGTGACGCTATTTATGTAACAGAAGTACTGCATCCGCCGCTGGCCAGGGCATCACCTGCGTAGGTCCTCTTGCTCCATCCCGACCTTCAGTTTGGCGATCATGACTCGCTCCTTATCCTCATCGTCCCTCAGGGACTCTTCGATGTTTCTCCCCACGAGTTCATCTTCGTGCGCGACATCCGGCGTCCAGCCCCCCGGCGCCGTGTCCTCGAGCCAGTACCTGGCATGTGTGGAAGGCTTCCAGTAATCAAGAAGTGGATGTACTCACTGCATCTGTGATTGGAAAATGCGATTCAAAAGCGCCAAAGGTGCAAATGAAGGTCCTTGTGCTTGCGAAGGGATGCGTGGAACACATGTATATGCCGCCTTGTTGATTCCGAACAAAAAATTCCGTGTGCATCCACTAGTGCATAATCATATAATTATCTATATTATCTATACAATGGTGTATGTTTACATTTACTATTCAATTTGTATGCCCGTATGCGTATCTTATGATCGTATATATCTATGTATTACCTATACGCGGAATTCCCCATTCTCTATAGACAATACGTGATCCCCATTAAAGTCAGATGCCTGAGGGTACCTAAGGTTACGGTAGCCCACGTATAGCCCCTTGAATTGGCGCCTCAACTCCGAGTGGCGCGACTGCTGCTCCTCGACGACCCGTCTGAGTTCGTCCTCGCGAGACAGGTGAACCTGTTGGCAGTTGGTCAAAGGCGCGAGGGCAATGGCGCCGTTGCAAAAATTTCATTGGGAAAATCAAATGGCGAAAATTTGCCATGCTCTTGGCGAAATCCTTTTCATTCGCCATAAATAGAGGCGATGCATCCCCGTAGCAATCGTTCGTTGTCTTTGCCCATTCCACCACGGTGTAATTTGACAAGTCCGTGGTGACCTTGAGCCGTTCAAGGTGGACAGGGAAATTCACTCGTAGGCTCTAGTCGTGCATCTTTTTGACGCATTAGATTTGAATCTGATTGATGTGAGGAAGTTGAAGTTGTACCCATTTGGATAGAGAAACTTTTTAATCGTAGGGGAATGTAAGGGACGCAACCCTGAGCTCACATATATTTTACTT